AACCATCATGTCTAATAATTAAGTATTGTTTCGAAATATTGTGAAAATTTTATGTTGCACTCTCAAATGTGTTAATATTTCAGAAACTAAAGTGCAATTTTTTTGTAAAAGAGTAAAATGTTTGCTTTACTGATAAAAAGGTACTCAAAAATAAAAATAAAAAAAGTAAAAAGCAATTATTACAAATTGAGGTTTATGTTTAAACTCTCACTGACAAGATAAAGTTGTTCAAATAAAGTTTCATCTTCTTTTGAGATGTGGTACTGATGTTCAGAAGTTATTGATTTTGGTGTTTTAACAAGAGGAATGAAATTTTTTTTCTTGGCGTCTAGCAATTATCAAACCGGTTTAGACAGTAGTAAGACTGATATGGATGCATAAACTTTACCACAAAATCATAATTCTTTTTATCAATTTAAGAAACCATTGTATTTGAAAAATAGATATTGTGATATAACTAGTTAATTGTAATAGCTTCATATTTTTGTTTATTGAGGAAGTCAAATGTTAGAGCAAAATCATTATTATCAGATTTCATTCTTATAATTGAAAAAGAAGAAGGTACAAATTGATAAAAGTCTATCAGTAAATTTGTTTTATACTAGCTCCACTTCTTTAGCAGTGACATACACATAATCCCACTGATTGACTTTTGACAGTATTTAAACATTGCTTGAGCAGACTGAATTTGACTTGTGTTTGAACTCTACAAGCTAGCAATGGCAGCAAGTTTTTATACATTACCACAGTTTTTATACATTACCACCTAATCCATCACATGTAGATTTACCATAGCTTGTTGCAAAGAAATTCCAGATGCAATGAACAAAATAATCTTTACCATGGTGTCATTAGTTGTGAACATTTTTATAATTCTTATACTGCCCTACACAGCCATCAGAAAATTAATGAATTTGTGTAATTTAGGATAAAGATTTGTTTTTATATGATTAATGGTTTTATGCATAACTTTATTGATAAATCCAACATCATGATTCAAATTATCTAAAATTACATGAAAAAATGTTTCCAATTTCTTTTCTTTTTTTAATATATGACTAGATGAAGAAAACACTGACTACATAAAGTACTGTTGAGCAAACATTTTGTTGGTTCCAGCATAATTCCTTTCTCTAAATCATCTTTAATTAGTTTTACCTCCAACTCAATTATCTATGATTCTTCTCATGATGCTAATTTATGTCTGCATTCTGGACAAAGCTTTTCCCCTGTATTACAAATTTGTTTTTACTGTGTAGGGATTATGCTGTATTCAGGCTGATTTCACGAAGACTGTCTGAAAAGATGAGAAGATCTTTTTTAATCAATATAAAAATATTACTAAAATCATTTGAAAGTTGTATGATGTTTAATTGTGCACTTTCAGAAGTTTGCTAAGAGTAAGGTTAAATGTAGCTAAAATAGAACTTGGCTGCCAAGAATTTCGCTATTGTAATTCTCAACACTTTCACATTCTTTTTTTGCTGATTCAACACTTTCACATTCTTTTTTCACAAGCTTCAAATATGTTTATGATGGAGACAAGTTGTTGATTTGACATTGATTGTTGATAGCCCAGTCCTCCACATTAATATTTCTCTTTCATACTTTTCAGGAATATCTTAAAAATATTGTGTTCCAATCAATGGTGGATGTGAAATTCATTTTCTAGTCTAATTCCAATTAAGCACTGTTGACTGTTTACAATGACTGAGAAAATTAATTAACAAATAAGGCACAATAATTATTTAATCTAAAATTAAAGCAATTTTTATGCTTCATCCATCATAACTGGCGTTTCAAAACTATATTTATACATCATAGCTAACAATAAAAAACTATATTTATATATCACAGCTGATGTGACAAAACTTTAACATCACAACCAAAACTATTTTTATACACTCCAACTGAAACCATGGCAACTCTAAGAGTTAGTGAAAGTGTTATCCTATTTTTTATTCTCCTCTTTATATCTCCTCTTTCATTTGAAAAAAAAATCGAATCCATGAGACTTAAGCAATTCTGAGAGTTAATGAAAATGCAACTTACATTAATGAAACAGAAAATTCAACTAACAATTTTAAAATAAAAAAAAGACCATAAAAATTTTTTATTAGGTTGGTTTCTCTACATTTTTGAATTCAGCAACCTCAAAAATGGTCAGGTACCAGTTTATAAACATATTCTTTCACTAGAACTATTATTCATTAAAAAGTACAACAACTAAGTCCATTATGGCCAAAATAGAACAAAATAGGCGTTTTAGATTGAATTTCAAAATATAATAATTTTAAACCGTTTAGATTAAGAAGCTTAAACTTTAGATTTTTTCATGTTTCATTGAAGTTTGTTGAAATTTGAATTATAACTGAAGGAGTGACTAAATTTAAAATTTTTTTGTCCCACTTTTACATAGAACAAGTTGAAATTTGAATTATAACCACAAGTTAAAATTTGAATTATAACTGAAGGGGTGACTAAATTTTACATAGAACTACCCAGTGGTATTCTCAGGTTAGGGGATTAACATTTAAAAAAATTGTAAAAATCACAACAAACATTTGGAAATATACAAAAAAATTAAGTTTATATTAAGTATAAAGTTTCCATACAAGAGTATTCTTTTATATATAAAAGAATCAATGAAAGTTTTCATTGATTCTTGCACTTTCATTGATACGTATATGCAAATAGGAATTTCCTTATGGAAGTATTCATTTTAGATTGAGGAGGTTTTTTATCTTACAAACCACTGCTTTATTTCAGGTTATTAATTCCTTAAAATTTAAAATTACTTTAAAAACTTTGTATGCTAGTTTAGTTTTAATTTTTTATGCTATAACTTTTTAAAACAGTTATAACAATTTTAAATAATTGTGCCATTTTGTTATAGTAGAAATTTAAATTATATTTTCTTGAGATTTTTCTTAGAAAATCATTTGAAAAGTTGTAAAAGAAATTAACAGTTGTGTTGGTATTTATTATTTTACCCTCTGAAATTTGAAAAGTATATTTTGAAATATTTGTGAAAGTGTTAGTAAAAATAATTTATTACCTTTATTTTTTAATATTATATTTATTATCTTTATTTATCTTTATCTTATTTATTATCTATATTTATAATCTTTATTATAAATGAAAATAATTTATAGTAGTTTCTTAAACTAAAAGTAAAAATAGTTCTTAAACACAATTTGTTAAAAATAGAAATATTTCAGTTTCTTTATTTATACTTTTCTTTATCTTTTTTATTGATGGTTTTATTTTAAATTAATAAAATAAAAAATTATTTTTTAGCCTTTTTATTTTGGAAATCTTCAAGGTGTAAAAAAATCTTCATTAAAAGAGGTTAGCATTATTTTTTATTTGTGTATAAAATCTTTTAACATTTTTATAACCTATAGTTTTTTTGTATCTCCTTTTAGCAACCACATGCAGACAAACAACTTTATTAGCTTATTATTATTAAGTGCTTGCAAAAAAAAAAACAAAAAAAAAACATGAATGGTTTTTATCTTAAGGCTTTTTATCAAATAATTTGAAACAAAATTGGGATACTTTGAAACTCGTACTTTGTAAACAATATAATAAAATTATATATTGTTGATGGCATTAAAAGCAGCTAGACACTTTTACTAACATTTATTTAAGAAGCAACAAAGAGTTTATAGTTTTCTATAAAGGATAAAAAGAAATAGCTAAAGGATAAAAAGAAAGGGCTTGGTCAATTTGATCAGAAATAAAATTGAAAAGTGCAGTTTTTAGATAGCATATCAAAGAATAGTCTGTGGATATAAACCTAGTTTCCTGACGAATGGGTGAACTCTTACGAATGTAAATGCCCAAGTCAAACTTGTGACTATTGGAGTCTTTACAAATTAAAGGAAGATAGCTATCAACAACAAGACCACAAGATGAGACAGCCAAACTCAAATTAGTCTCACAAAGAGCAAGTAGGTCTGGTGAACTTTGCAAGATATAAGACTCAACAGAAGAAAAGTTATTTTGAAGACCACGAATATTAGTGAATCATAGATTTAGAGAAATTGGTTATGACGATGGTTTGAGGAGTTTTATAATTTTTGGTACTTTATTCATTTTTAAATTTGTTAAAGAACACTTGACTCAAAGCGCAGATATTACTCATTACACTGTTTAATAGCCCAAACAATTGCTCATTACTAATAATAAATGTATTGAAATTAACAAAAAGTTTAGTTTTTTATGACATAGTACTTCATTTTTTTTATTTTCAAAAATAATATAGCCTCATCTATGCCATCATCCTATAAATCAATTATGACTATCACATGTGGCGTACACCAAGTTTTCAGGTAGTATCATATGGAAGCATTAATATATATTTCACCAGTTAAAAAACATCTGAGAGTCACTTCAAGGTTTGTGGAAGTAAATCTTATAACTAAAGAACTGAAAAGCCTATTCATATAGTTATACAACATGGAATTAAAGTAGCAATCTGTTGCTGTCATACTAAAGATTATGGTTGTTGTGGCTATTCAAGAAATGTTGAATAAGAAGACTCTATCAACAATCTCTTCCAGGTATGCATAAACTCTTTATGCTATTGTCTATATATGTCCTGTCATCTGTAAATGCTGAAAAGACAAGTGTGATGAGGCCATTCAAGAAAATTCAAGTATGGGCCCAGATGTATTACTAAAGTATGTTTGCCATTATCCATAAACAGAGAATGAATAATTATATATAAGTAAGTCTTTGCAACGAAAGACTTTTTAAAAAAAGAAATTTTTAAGTGTGTATTGTTAGACAAGTTTTTGGCCAAAAATTAGATTAAACAATAAATCAATAAAAACATTTCAAAAAAAGTTTAATTTGTCTTATAATGTAACTATAGAGATATGTTAGCATCCAATAGGTCTAGCACCTCCAGGCCTGGATTTATTTTTTAATAATGCTTGCGCCTTTTTTTTTTCTAAGTTGAACTTGTTGTCCTATAAAATACCAAGACTCCAAAGCAAATTTTTTTTTAAATTGCATTTACAAGTATATGATAATAAAATATATTTTTTTCAATTCTTCTTTAAAGTGAACTTAAAATGAGTATGTAGTTATTTTGTTTGGATTTAACATGAGTATGAAAGTATTGAAGAATTTAATCTAAGAATCTAAACTAAAGAATGTAATAATTTTAACTACTCTAGAGTATCTGGAGTTTTAGATACTAATAAAATTTTATGCTAAGTTAATATTAAAAAAAGTTTTAAATACATAAAAACCTGAATGTTTTTATAAAGTTTATATTATATTTTATTAAAAGGCTTGCAGTTGTTTTGGGTCCATTGTTATTGGGAATACATTTACTGGCTATAATACATCTATATTTACTTATGGATCTAAATCATCAGGAAAGTCTACTATTATTTTTGGTTTGAAAAATGAAAAAGGTCTTATTTCTACAATACTTGAAGGTTTATTTGAAAAAGCTTCAAACTATAACGAAGAAACTTCATTCAGATGTGAAATAAGGTAAAATAAAATGATTGTTGTATTATATTGTATTGTATGATTTTTATATTATTTTTGTATTATATCAGCCATCAGAATTAGGTTTAGTATTAGACAATGCCCACCTAACTGCCGACATTAAAGTATTTGAGGTTGGCAGAAAATTGCTGACCTTATTTCTATGTTTTATGGTAAAATCATTGTATTAAATTTTTTTACTGACTTGATGCCGATCTCTTAAAGATTAAAGTCGGCAAATTATCGTCGACCTCATTTATCCTAATTGAAAAGGCTGATTATATTGTATGATTTTTTTATTATATTGTATGATTTTTGAATTATCCTATAATATTTTAATATTGAATTTAATGCTGTTGCTCCTGCTGCTGCCGTTACTCATTTGTTTGCACAGATTTGCATATAATTTGCAAAGAACTCACAGCAGCCATTACACCTAAGTTAAGGGAAAACAAGAGTCGCAACACTTTTTGTATAATAAAATGTGAATGTATACAAATATCTAGCTTGAGTAAGCTTCAAATTATGTCATGTTAAATCATGCATTGCAACAAAATTTCCTTCATTTTGATTTAAAGCATTTATTTGCCATTTTATAAAGTTATTTTGTCTTTTGTTTATTAAATAGTGTTAAAAATTGGCAGATTAGTGCCTTAGTGGCTTAGTACAACCCAAGGATTCAAATCCTGTTGCATGCACATTAATCTTTTTTTAATTTTTTTCAATATTCTAAAATACAAAATAAAAGATTTTTAAAGTTCTATTGATGTTATATGCATAACATGTATAAAGATATCATATACTATAACAATCAAAAAAATTTTATATACTATAACAATCAAAAAGATATTATATACTATAACAATCAAAAGTTAGAGACAAACTAAAGGGTTTATTGAATTTAAAAATTCAATAAACATTAAAACAGCAGTAGAGATTTTTTGCGCAAATGTCACGATAGAGATACTTAAGTTAATAAAGTACTTAAGTAATTAGTTTAACACACATTAAAATGATAACTTTTTTTCTTATAGGAAAAAACATTTTACATTCAAACTTTTATTTTTTTCAAAATTATCCAGACAAAGGTCCCAATAAGCTGTGGATGGTCTGGAAAAAGTTTAATAAAAAGTTAATAAAGAAAAAAATTTATCAAATTTAAAAAAAGTCTACATGTATATATTTACGTCAGTGTGGCTGAGTGGATAGCGCGCCGAGCTTCTGAACAAGTAACCCCTGGTTCAAGTCTCACTACTGTTGAGTTTTTTTTTAATTTTTTGAAATTATTTTAAATTGCAAAATACTTTTGAAGTTTTATAGAGAATATAAACACATTATAACATATCTAATGTAATTATGCACTAACAAACGAAAAGATATTAAAAAAGCTAAAATTTCCCAAAACATCAAAACACCAGGAGAAAAAATTTGTTGTGTATGTGTCATAATTGAGATGTTATTAATGTGTTCAGGTAATTAGTCCTAATAAGCTGCAGGTGGTCTGAAAAAAAAGTTGTCTGAGTCTTATTAAATGAAAAAACTTAATAAGACAGTCCTGCTACTCCAGAAGGTGCTGTTGTGGAGGCAAAAAAAGATAAAAAAAAGCCCGTAATTAGTAAAAACTTTCTTTTGATAATTTTTTTTTTGCTACATTTATTTTTTTACTATAAATATATGCTGCAGCCATTTTTCAAAAGGCCTTAATATGCTTATTATGTATTTTGAGAAAAATGCAATTAAAAAAATTATTAGGAGAAACTCTTTGTAAAACGTTTTTTGAAACAAATAATTTTAATGAATTTTTTCAGAATTCTTTGAAAATATATATATTTAATAACGTAAACCATACAAATTAAAAGTAGTTGCAGTGCACTTAAAAATTTTAGGTATAGTGTTTGGTGTTTGCAAAGGAACATTATATAAATCATTTTTTAATTTTAATATAAACGGATTTATTTTCAACTTTGTTGCACTTAACCATCCATATAAACAATATATATATATATAAACAAATATCTTATTTGTTTATATATATATTGTTTATAAAATGTAAAAAATCCACTTATATAACGTTTTATTCAGGATCGTATGTAATATAAGTAAACTTTTTTAATAATAACAAGTCTTTTTTGCTCAAGCTGTTGTGTTTTGATTTTTTGTAGGCATGCTATTATATTTAAAAAAATTGACAAGATTGAATAAACACAAAACATGTTGACATCCAAATGGCAAGTTTGAAACTTCTATTTTAGATTTGCCCCTATCTTGATAAATTCTCATTGCTAAAAATACATCATCTGCTTCTTAGACCATTAAAAATGATAGACGCGGCTTTTTTATAAATCGTTGAAGCCATAATTTTTTTTTGCGTATGTGACATCGCTTTATAGCAAATAACTAGAAAAACAAACTAGAAATAAGATTTTTATTTAAATTTTTTAGGAAAACTTCTTCTATTAAATATATATGGATTATATTTTTATGGGATATATTCTAATAAAGATAAAAACTATTTATTTATTACTGTTATAATAAAAACTCTTATCCGTGAAATGATATATCTGTACCAGTTTTATACCTTTTTGTGCAATTGTATGCAACATAATTAAAATTAATCAAAAAAATGTAAGATGAATGCAAAAGAAAACTTGATGCTAAATTTTGCCATAAACTGATGTCAATATGCAAAACTTTTTTTGCTTAACTTTTAGATTAGTGTTTGATGTTGTTCTTTAGTTTTTAATCACTTACCTCACACTTGCTCACTGCGCACTTGCCTCAGAAACGTAAGCTCCGTGGTTCAAACCCCACCTCTGGGCAAGTTTTGCGACATCGGTTGGGAAGGAGGCGTGAACTTCCTATTAAATGCTCTTCCGCGATGCTCTGTGATAAGACCGTAAGGACTTCTTGGGGCACCTAAATCAGCATAAAAATAAAAAAAATTAAAATCATAAGAATGAACTTTTTTTTATGACTTATGACCATTTGTATAGCGTCACATACAAACGTCTGTAAGTGTAAACGTCTTTAGCATATATTATTAATTTTTGCTATAAATATATAAGCAAGATTAAAAAAATTTCAAATTTTATTACGCTGAGAGGGGGTCTTAAACCCCCTAAAACAACACTTATGACAGCTTAACCACTGAACTATCAACAAAATGCATTTAGCAGAAAAACAAACCTAAACCTATAAGTCTCTTATAAGCTCTTCGTATGTGGAAAAGGTGCGCATGTTAAGTTTTTTGCTCTAAATTTTTTTTTTCAGAATAAATTGTTTTACTAAAAAATGTTGAAGTAAATAAGGAATAGGTATACAAATAATTGGTATGGAATAAATATGTAAATTGGTAAAGACCTGTATTTTCCGGATCTGGAAAGCTAGGATATATAAGGAAAAAGTATAGAAAAGTTCGATTCGATCTAGACTTACAAAATTATATAAAAACTTGACCTGTATTTTTAAGGGTCCGATCTAAGCTAGTTATAATTAATCAACCCATTTATCCAAAATAATTGTGCAAACCACTGATAGATAGTGCTTTGCACAATAACTACTGAAGTGTTTAAAATTATTTAAAGTTAATTATGTTATGAATCAAAAATACGACAAATTATGAAAATACCGTGTATATATGGTTTTTCTAACGCTTACTTAAAATATTGAAGTAAGGAATAAGTATAGAAGTGGTTGGTATAGAATAGACTTACCAAGACCCGTATTTTACCAGTACAGACAGCTAGTATTGTATAATTTTTATATTGTATGATTTTTGTATAATGTATTAAATTGTATGAACTTTGTATGATTTATATTGTATGATTTAACTATTTAATTATATATAAACTTTTTATTTAAACTTATACTACATGATGTAAAATTTATACATTTAGAAAAGATATAGAAGATGAATTTAAAGCAATATAGAAAATTTCAATTTAAAGTAATATAGAAAATTTCAATTTAAAGTAATATAGAAAATTTCAATTTAAAGTAATATAGAAAAGATAAAAATAAATGAAAGTATAAAAAGTTTAAAGTTTATAATAACAACTTGTTTCTCTGCGCAGCGCCCGTTCGTCAAGTTTTTTGTTTTTAAGTTATAGAGTTGAGAGCAGATTTTAACCACAAATTAGGTAGCCTCCTCGACTGTAGTGGTCATCTAGGCCTTGGGAAGGTGAATTAACATTTAAAAAAATGAAAAAAAAGTTTTTGATTAAAGATTTTTGTTTCTTTACTTGATCTCTATATTTTTTAGTTTCTTTGAAGTTTGTGATGATTTAATAACAGATCTTATTTCAAAAAGATCAAATGTTAAATCAAATGAAGGTTCAGTTAAGTTAAAAGGTATAATTAAAATTTTTATGAACTTCTGAATTTCTTTCAAAAATTTCAAAATGTTATTTAACAAAAATAATTTTTTTTTTTGTTCATTAGTTCGAGAAGATCCAGTGAAAGGTCCATACATAGAGAAATTAAGTCGTCATATTGTTACTGATGTAGGCGAAGCACAAAACTTGTTCTCCAGAGGTTTAAAAAGCAGGTATTTTTTGTTACTTAAAAAGCAGGTATTTTTTATTACTTAAAAAGCAGGTATTTTTTGTTACTTAAAAAGCAGGTATTTTTTATTACTTAAAAAGCAGGTATTTTTTATTACTTAAAATAAATTTTATAGTTTTTCTGATGGATAACATATGTCAACAGATTACTGTTTTTGGGTTGTTTCCTAATTTGAGCTTTTTTAAATTTTTATATTTTGTGTGGCCATTAAATAAAGTCAACTTAAGTAATAGATTTTAAATTGCAAATGCAGTATGCAAATCAAAGTATTATTATTTGGTTTTATATAGGTTTTTGTAATTATGATTGTCAAGTTACTTTTTCATATTATGGAAACATTACAATGCAAAATATAAAATTTTGTATTTAAAACATACATCATATATATTTATTTAAGTTAATTATTTACATCAATAAGTTCAAATCTTATTGTTTATGGCGTTTTCTATTTTAAGGAATCGTATGGCTGCATTAGATCCTAGTTCAAAAAAGACTTCTTCTACTATTTTTAGTATCACATTTATAACGGTAAAGTTTTTTTGCAAGTATATTTTTTTCAAAAAGATTATATAGCTGAATAAAATAAGTATAATTAATTTATTACACAAAATTAAAATATCTAATTATAAAGAATTTTTATTTAAACAATAAATAATATTTATACTTTTTTTAATATTTTGTAAAGGCTTCCTTAAAAGATGGTCTTCCGATGGAATTAATTAGCAGAACAAATATTATTGATGTTGCAAGCGAGGATGGTTATCCAAAATATGTATATATAATCAGATTCTTAAAACTTTGTCAAAATGTGTAATGACATATTTTTAATGTACATATATTTTCTTTGTATGTGTATAAGATTTTTTTTAGACAAATGGATTTAATTCAAATATATTTGGAGAGAATGAAGCTGAAGATGAAAAACAAGGACCTTTAGAAACACTGAACGAAGTTATTAACAAATTAGCTTCTTATAATATTAATCCAATTAAAAGCTATACAAATATGAGTCAATGTGAGCAGAAGATTCCTTATAGAGATTCAGTAAGATGCTAAATTATTTTTTGAAAATTTCTTTTCAGTAATAATTTACTAATAAAATAATAATATTCATTTTGAAAAACATTAATTTATAGCATATTATGAAAAATTATTAGTTTCAACCTTTTTTGAAAAATAGTAGTTTACAACCTTTTTTGAAAAATAAGTCTTTTTCATTAATTTAAAAGTTCATTTTATGTGATACAGAATTAAAGTATGTTTATTTTTCATGCATTATTAAAAAATCTTATGATCTTACCTTGTTTTGTTTTGATTGTTTTGAATTATATTATTTTAGCATAGTATTTGTGACCTAAACAATGATTATATATGTATGTATATATATATATATATATATATATATATATATATATATATACACAGTAGGGTGATGCAAAAAACAACTTTTTTTAAAATAGTCTCCTGCTCTTAACTAAATGTGTTCTATATAATACAAAAACACTAGGTTTAAAATTTTTTTGAATAAAAAATATTTTTAGGGGTGCCTCAAGACCCTTAAATATTTGACAGTTCCAATGTTTTGAAAAAAAAAAGTTTTTCAAAAGTATGTCAACCTGGTACTCAAAAGAAACGAAATTATATAAAAACTTGAAAAATAATAATCAATTTACAAAAAAAACATGTTTAAATAAATTATTTTAAAAAAACTTGAAAATATTGACTTTTTTTATCACCTTAAAAACAATAGTTTTTAGGCAATTTATATCTGAAAAAAATATTTTTATGTAAATTGATTATTATTCTTGAGGCACCCCTAATAATATTTTTTATTTAAAAAAATTTTAGACCTAGTGTTTTTGTATTATATAGAACACATTTAGTTAAGAGCAGGAGACTATTTTTAAAAAAGTTATTTTTTGCATCACTCTAATTTTTTTTTTCTTAATTATCTTCGCTTCCAACAAGGCTGCAAGCAACCACTAATTAGTGTTGGAAGTTACTGGAAGAGAAAAGATGAAGATTGTAGAGCAAGATAACGATTGACTGACGACTTAAAAGATTGCAAATTGTATGAATCAGGAAAGCAAGATGAAGGAAATTCCAAAGAACTGATGTTCGAGGAAAAAAACTAGACGAATAAGAGTTTTTGGAGCACTTAGGAACAGTAACAGAAAAAGGATGAGACTTAATTGAATGACGAGTAACATGAGAATGAATTTTAGTAGGTGGCACAAGGGACGCTAGCACTTTAAAGCAGTGCCCATTATAGTATTTGTAGAAAAGAGAAAGAGAAGCAACATTACGACGATGTGACAGAGGTTGAAGGTTGGCTGCAAGACCAGGTCCAACTATGTTTACAATGCGTTTTTGCACCTTGTTTAAAAGTGAAAGGGCATCATTAGAAGATCCGCCCCAGATATGGCAACAGTGTTCCATACAAGGCCGGATTTGAGATTTATAGAAATAGGGAATAGAATCCAGAGTAAGAAAGTGACGAGCTCGATATAGAGAAGCAGCTTTAGAAGATGCTAATTTTGCAACGGATTTGATATAAGGTTTCCAAGAAAGATCAGAAGTAAGAGTTAATCCTAGAAGATGAAGGGTAGGAGACTCATCGAGTACATTACCGTTCATAAATATAGGAAGGTCTAAACTATTGCGATAACGATTGGCCGAAAAAAATTGTATTTTATCTGAATTAAAGTTCACCAGCCACTGTGAGCCCCATGCTGTAGCAGAAGTGAGATCCTTTTCAAGCTCAGATGCCACCTGCAAGCAATCAGAGGGAGTTGGCTTCTTATCGTGATGAGAATAAATGGTAGTATCATCAGCGAACAATGCCACCTTAGGTGTGAGAATATCTGGAAGATTGTTAATGTAAATTAAAAAGAGTATAGGGCCAAGGATTGAACCTTGGGGAACCCCTGAGTTTACAAAATAAGAAGAGTGCTGTCCATCAAGAACAACTTTTGTACTTTGATTGGAAAGAAAAGATTCAATAACCTTAAAGATGTTTCCAGATACACCGTAAGAAGAAAGCTTATGGATATACAGTGATGTATCCAGAAATATTTTGGGTCTAAATAACCTGTTTTTTTTTTTTTTTTTTTTTGAGGACTTTTTTTTTTTTTAGAAGATAAATTTAAAAATATATATAACTTGCATTAGTAATTTAAGTTTTTTGAAATAAAAATATATATAATTAACCTAAATAGTCATTAAGGTTACATAGACAGTTTTAACACCAACATCAATTTGCTTCTAATTTTTAGTTATATGCTTTATTCGCCAACTAATATAAAGAATATAATCAAGTTTATTTCATTATACCTTCTTCTATGAGTACACTTTATTACAGGTACTCACAAGAGAATTGTTATAACTAAAACATTCAATAAATGTATTTATATGCTTCTTTTAATTAGAGTAAAAAGATTTATTACATAATTATTACACAGCAAGGTCTTTAATTCATTCAAAAGTTAATAACTTTTTTTTTATTGTCTTAAAACTTATCTTCCTTTTTTAAATCAAGTTTTTTGGCGTGATTACTATAATGTTATTATTTATTACATTTTAAAAAACTTTTATTTATTTTATTATTTAAAGTATTTTTAATGCAATTTTACTATTATTTAAAATGAGAAAGCTTATAGAGTTTAATTGCATTGTAAATTGTAGTTATAAAAATGTTAAGCAGAGAAGAAAGTCATACTTAGTGTATTTTAAAACAAGTTAATGTTTTTATTTAAAAATATAAATACCTTTCATATTTTAATCAAATCAAAACGTTCATTATCAATGAATTTTGACTTAAAATACATTGATAATCTGTTTTAAAAGTCGTTTCTAAATGACATTAATAACAATTTTGTAATTATTGTCACAAATTTTATCATTACAAAACAGCAAGACAATAAGTAATAAAGAATTGTTTAATTTTATTTTTTTTTATGATAAACTTGGTGCTAATATAAAATTATTTTAAATTGAGTTTGGGCAGAAATTTAGGGACCCATACCGGGTATACTGGTGTCAAAATCGGCCTGAATACGTCACTGATAAATATATATATATATATATATATATATATATATATATATATATATATATATATATATATATATATATATATATATATATACAAACTAAAGTAGAAAATTGGTCAATCACCCCTGTCAAATTGGGTGAGCATGAGTTTGTTTCTATTGCCTGCACAATTATTTCACTAAGAATAGAGTTTCATACTTTTTATTTATATATAATTTACAGGATTTTGTGGTAGTTTTATAAAAATTGCACTGTTTCAATTATTATCCAATGGATAACTGGGTTTAAATTTGCATCTCCTAATTTCCAAATTTTGTTTGATAGTTTAGTGTCATTTTTGTACTTGGGAATATAAAAGGATTTTATATGGTTGGCATTTTTATTTATTTAGATATTTATTGATTGAAGCTTGAGCAGAATCATTGGAACTTACATTAGTACTTTTTGGTAGCTTAGTATACATTGGTAGCTTAGTATACATTAAGCATTGGTTTGATAAAAGGCCAGCATTCTTATTAAGGCAGTTGCAGTTGGTTTTAGGTTAAATTTTGTTGTTTATGTGACGATTGTTTGCATTTATAAAAAAAATTCATATTCGCCATATAACTGTAACTTATTTAACTTATTTAACTTTCTATTAGAAATTTAATGGAGTTTATGATTCATTGGAAAGTGTTTATCATTAAAAATGTTAAAAAGATTTTATAGGATTTTATAGATTATAGGTTAAAAAGCTTTTTTCTACATTGTTAACATTTTTACTGAAACAAAGGTTGAACCAATCGTTATTGAGTTTGTGATTCTTGGTGTGAGGTAAATTAAAACATCAATAATTAGCTCCATATGTTAAGCAATCTTCTCAAGTTGTCTACA